AAGAGAAAATAGATAAACAGCCTAATGAAGTACTGCTGGCTTTGTGGAATCAGCTGACTCCCCACCAGCAATTCAGGAATGCACCCAAGAAGGGGAGAATTGAGGCACCCACCAAAGGGATCCATGACATGCAGCTGTAAGATTTTATGGGTGAGGCCTCCTTTTTCAATATGGATTAGGGATCTGGCTGAGGCGCCCAGTTAGAGGGGACCTTGGATGATCAGAGGCCACATGTGGAACTTGATATTCATTGGTCTCCTACAAATGTACAGCAGGTTCTGGCCTTGGTGGACGTGAGAGCTGATTGCTTCCTAATTTATGGAAACCCTGAGCGGTTTACAGGACCAACGGCCTATATAGATGGCCATGTTGGGTGAACTGTTAAAGTTAAGAAAGCAACTATTCCATTGGGGATAGGGCATTTGACCCCTAGACCTTACACTGTGTATGTCCCCCGTGAAGGAATATATTCTGGGTGTTGATATCCTGTGTGGTCTAACCCTAACTACCTCCATGGGTGAGTTTCACCTCTGAGTTAGGGTCATGAAGCTGGTGGTGCGTGGCCACACCCATGACCCACCACAAGTTTTGCCAGCACCTCGTCATATGGTATGCACCCAGCATCATCATTTTCCCGGGGGACATGAAGAAATTTCATGAACCATATTGCAACTGGAAAAGGTCAATATAGTACACCCTACTCACAGTCCATTCAACTGTCCTGTTTTGCTGGTTAAGAAACCGGATGGAACTTGGAGAATCAAAGTAGACTATCAGGAACTGAATAAAGTGACTCCCCCATTGCATGCGGCAGTGCCGTCCATACTGGATCTGATGGATCAATTGACTTTGGTTCTTGGGCAGTACCGCTATGTGGCAGACCTGGCCAACACCCTTTTCTCCACAGACATAGCTATGGACAGTCAAGACTAGTTTACACTCACTCTAGCCTGGGCAACAAAAGTGAGACTCTGTCTCAAAAAAAAAAATAAAAAAAAAAAAAAAAAAAGACTAGTTTGCTTTCACATGGGAAGGACAACAATGGTCATTTGTGGTATTACTGTAAGGTTACCCCCACAGCTCAACCATATGTCATGGTTTGGTGGCGTAGGACTTGGCCACATGGATTCGGCCTTCTGCAGTGTACTTCTTTCATTATACTGATGATATAATGTTAACCTCTGATTCCTTTACAGATCTAGAAGAAGCTGCTGCCAGCCTTCGAACCTTGTTGGATCATTAGGATTGGGTGGTGAATGACTCCAAGGTCCAGGGACCTGGCTTGTTGGTCAAATTCTTGGGTGTCGTTTGGTCAGGTAAGATGAAAGCAATCCCCAAGGCTAGATAAGATTCAAGCCTTCCCCCAACCCACTGTGGTAAAACAGTTACAAGTGATTGTGGGGCTCTTGGGGTATTGGTGTATATTCATTCCCCACTTGGCCCAACTGTTACAGCCATTGTATTCATTAAGTAACAAGGGGACACAGTGGGACTGGTCTCTGGCAGCAGAGGCCTCTTTTATAGTAGCCAAGAGGGCTGTTGCACAGGCCCAGATGCTACAAGTAGTTGACAGCTCACAGCTGTACAGCCATTTGACCTTGATGTGACAGTCAACTCAAGCAGAATGGGCTGAGGTTTGTGGCAGCACCAGTATGAGCGGCAAGTCCCTATTGGGTTTTGTTCCCAGACTTGGAAGGACCCTCAAGAGCACAATTCCTCGGTGGAAAAGCAGTTGGTGGCTGTGTATGCCACCCTTCAAGCCTGTGAAACTATAACTGGGCAGTCTGAGGTGCTAGTGTGCACCACATATCCCATAGAAGGATTGGTGAGGTCACGGAAAACCAGCCCACGATCAGAGATAGCCCCAATGCCTACCCTGGTGAAGTGGGGACCTTACTTAGAGCAACAAGCAGAGTTTAGCTCCAGCCTTTTGACTGCAGAGTTGCAGATAGTATGAGGCCTTGTTGAATTTGTGTCTGATGCTGACTCTCAGACCATGGTAATATCAAGGGAAGAGAGCCCATACCTTGAAAGACGGGGTTCCCCTCCTGTGGAGGGATGGTATACCAATGGGTCCAGTTGTGGCCTCTGAGCCCAATGAACAGTGGTAGCTGTCCAGTTGGATCATGATGACATTTAGTTTGAAATGGGACAGGGGCAGAGCAGACAATGGGCAGAATTGCATGCCATAGTCATTCACAAGCCGTCCGCTTTGCATGTCTGCACTGATAGTTGGACCATTTTTAAGGGCCTTGCTGGTTACCTACATGGAAAGCCTAAGGTTGGCTAGTAAGGCACCACCCAGTGTGGGTGGCTTTATCTTCCTGCTCGTTGGATGAGAAGGTGCACTTGGGGACAGCCATATGTCCTGGGGAAGGTCCTCCCCACCTTTACCAAGAAGACACATAATTGGGATGCTGTGTTCTCCTGCTGGCACCAGGTGAAATAGATTCCATGGTAGTTCTACCCAGTAACCATCTTTTTCCCTGAGGGTGGAGCCATTAAGGTAGAAACAGAAGTGAATGCCCTAGTGGAACATACTTCTTGGGCCATAAGTCAAACCAGGCAGGCCTTAACCCTCCAGATGGATGAAGTCATTCAAATGAGAAAGGTGTTTTTGCAAAACTGCATGGCCCTTGATCTCCTTACTGCAGATCAAGGGTGCATATGCCCAGTCATACATATTGAATGTGGTGTGTATATACCTAACCACCAGGAAGATATCTCCTCTGCATTGAAGGAAGTTGATGGTGAGGTACAGGTCATCCAACAATTAACTGGAGACCCTTTAGAACAATGGCCAGGATGCCTCTCATCATCTCGGCTTTGAACCCTTTTAGAGTTAGGTGCTGCTTGCTGTAGTCTGCTAATACTATGCTGTTCCCCATATTGTTGTTGTGGCATTTGAGCCCAGAGGGCCTCCTAATGGGCCCATGTATCAGCTGTGAAACCTGTTGCCTGGGGTGGAATATAAGGGAAAATTCATTTGTATAGGCAATAGGTTTCTAAGATGACTGCCGGAGTGTTTCCAGGCCAGGTCTTCTGGCAAGCCGGCCTTCTGGTAAGGCATGAGTCAGCACACTTATGTCACCATGATGTCATCTCCTATGTAAAACCCATGTGATCACACTTTCACTTGTTATGTTACCACTATTGTTCTGAGCCATATATAAGCGCTTGCCATATTCCGCTGCGGCAACATCACCCTGACAATAAAGAATATGTCTCATCTACCTGCTGCCGCTCATTTCTTCCTTCAATTCCCAGAACTTGCTCTGGTACCCTCGTTGGCCACAGAGCTCCCTCCCCATAGCACCTAGCACTAAGCCTGGTATATACTGAGTTTTGATGTATTCTAGTTATATTTATTTTGACCCCAGAACCTACCACTCTCCCTTCTTTTTTGTTTGTTTTATTCTGTTTTGTTCAGAAAATGTCAGAGTATTTGCAGGACAATAAGATATAGCACACCAAATTGGCCAAAATGTTCCTTAGCAGGTTAAACTAAGTTAGTTGCTATAACTTTTTTGAGGTTATGTTATTTATTGTCAGTATGAAGGATTCTTACACAGTTTGATGCAACTCAAAGCTCCTAGAAATTGTGTCAAGTTCTATTAGTAACTCAGTCCCTTTCTTCCATCTGCCCTTCCATCCAAACCACCTGTATTGGCAATTACTTTACCCCCATAAAAATCTAGTTTTAGCTTGTAGTTTGCCAAATTATGTACAAGATCACCTAACTTAAATGCCCATTTAATGGATGGGCTATGCCTCTCCCAGCTTACTGCAAAGATTGCCAGCACAGTGGCTTTTGAGCATTCTGTCTCATATGAGTATCACCACTACTTCTCACTCTCTTGTGATAATGTTCATATATCACCTTTTTGTGCACTGTGTTTACCTGCATTAAGAGTACAGGACAGTTTCCATTTGTGCCCCAGGTGGAGATTCCTCTCTAGTTTATTCATGATATAAAACTAACTACTAAAACCAGTTTTTCATCCCAGCCATTAATCTCTCAACTGTGAAATACATCATCTGAGATTTTGGCCTCTGCCCACCACTCCCAGATACTCATGTGGCCCACCATCAGCTTAATTTAAATTACCTCACATTGAAGCACTTGAAGTTTCCCAAGGCCCCAAACCCCTTGCCATAGGGTATAAATACTTGACTGCTCATCTGAAACACCCAAGTCCTCATACTTTCTTTTGACTTGTTCTTTTGGTTAGGGGCAATGTCACTGCTATGGACCGAATGTTTGTATCCTCCAGAAATTCATATATTGAAGTATAAATCCCCATTGTAATGGTATTTGGAGATGGAGCTTCAGGGAAATAATTAATTAGGTCATGAGGGTAGAGCCTTCATGAATGGGATTAGTGCCCTTATAAGGGGACAAAGAGACCAGAGCTCTCTCTACCATGTCAGAATACAGTAAGACTCTCAAGCAGTAAGAGAGCCTTTACCTTTACCAAAAACTAGACCTGGAAACCTGATCCCAGACTTCCAACATCCAGAACTATGGGAAATAAATGTTTGATGTTTAAACTACCCAGTCTATGATAATTTGTTATAGCAAGCTAAACTAAGTTACTCACCCACCATTTTCCTTTCATGATGGCTGCTCCAAGACTTTAAATTTCTATGGGCAGGGATGATTTCTGTTCAGATTAGCATTCCAGGTACTAATGAAAGCCTCCCAAAGAGTAGATGCTCAATTATTGTTTGAGGAAAAAAATAAGCTCCTGAAAACAAGGTCTAATTTATCATGATTTAATTTCTCCTGCATTATTTAATAAACTAAATATATCTAGGCATGTATATGTATGTATGTATACATATATATGTTACAAAATAACAGACTAAAATTAACGAGTGAAACCAACAATTTATAATCTTTTATTTTTTCTCCATTTCTTGATCCCAACTATTACAATGCTGAGTTCTTTTACATTTCCAAGAAAATGCTTAATTTACTGCCATACAATCTTGTTTCAAATAACTAAGTGTGGTGGAACATTTCCTAATTTGTTTTCCAAAATAATAAAACTCTTACTCTTAAATTTGATTCACAGCAATAAATATTTGAGTAATGTCATTCATAACTTTATATTCTGAAGGTACTTCAATTTTCTAATAAAAGGAACAATACTTCTAAAAAATTATTCAGAATACAGAACAGGAAAATAAACATGTTATACATTGTGTTGTCTCCAGCCCCACCCTGACCTTCCACTACTTAAAATATGGAATTTTCTTTTCAACTATAAAGTGAAGAATGCATCAGATTCTACTAGGGGTGGGAAAAGCTGTGGGACGTGGCCCTGGAACGTGCACTGGCCATAGCACTAATGCGAGCCCTGGCTGCAACTCTGGCTTGTGCTCTCTCTTCCTCATCTCTCAAAGCCTCTTCATACCAGGTTGGGAAGGCACTAGGGATGGTATCATGGACCTTGGCTAAAAACTCAAGGACTTTCATCTTGCTGGTTTCAGCATAGGCTCGTGGACCCCACAGGAATTCATAACATGGAGGATCACTGTTAGCCACCTGCCGATACTCCAGGTACTTTTGTTCCACCAAATCTTTGGTGAGGAGCTTCCTGAGATCTCCAAAAATAATATGCATCCTCCCCTCATATAACCCCATCACATTTAATATTTGCCAAACTTCTCCCTCAGTGGCACAATTGCCTTTCGTGAAGATCACACCCAGGACAGTCATCAGCAGGCCAGTCTTGGGTATACCTCTGTCATCACTCATCATTGCATCATAGCTTAGATCTAGTTTGTTGATGAGGACATAAATGTGCCTATTGGGATCTACTTCCTTTATGTCAAGGCCAAACACCATCTCCAGGTACTCTGCAGCTTTCTTCAGGACCTCATGGAAGTGGCTCTTGTGCATTTGGATTATATTTTTCAGCATATCTACCTTCGTAATTTGCTCTTTCAATTGATACTTGTACAGCAGGTAACACACCAATGTAAATACCGTCTTATCTATACGGTTTGTCTGCTCATAATCAGTGGCAGGCTGAGCCCCCAAGGATCTTGGCCTTTCCCTTATTTGGTTGTTGACGGTTTCATTGGATCTTATATATGAAACAGGTGCACCAGTAGAGGTGGCTCTCTGAGGCCCCTGGGGATTTCTGGTGGTCCCAGAAGCAGTTGAGCTCTGGGGAGTACTCTCGAAAGGAGTAGAGGAAGAGGAAGGAAGCCCTCTTCCCATTCCTGCAGCGGCCTGAGCACCCATTGGATGCTCGGTTGCTTGTTGGGCTTGATGGCGTTTCTCACGGGCACGGAGCTTACTCTTCAGACCCCGGGGCATGATGGCTTTAGACAGGGGCAGTGGGCAGGTAGGCAGGTGATCTCTGTGACCTAGAAAGAGGATGAGATAGTTTGGCCACTTCAGCTGGGAGACACCTCCTTGGCTTTATTAAAGGCTGCTTCTGCAGTTTTCCTTGAAGTCACTGCTCTAGGAACCCACAATGCTCCTATTCCCCAATCTGCCTATTCCCTAAAGACCCTGTGGAAATAACTAAGGTATGCCTTAGGTTGCTGCTACTTGCCAGATCTGCCTGGGGCTCAATGGGGCTTAGAGCAATGGCTCCCTTCTGGGGTAGGAGGTCTTTCTCTCAGTTCACATTAAGGGTCATCACCTCCCTTCTGGCAGAACCTGGGGTCCCTCTGATCCTGCAGTCCCCAACCCCCGGGGTAAGGCCCAGTACCAATCCATAGCTCATTAGGAAATGGGCCACACATCGCCACTTGAACTCCACACATACACCCACTATGCCCACCCTCTTCTGTCAGTGGAAAAATTGTCTTCCATGAAACCAGTCCCTCGTTCCAAAAAGGTTGGGGACTGCTGCTTTGATCTACTGCTTTGATGCTGACCCCTCATTTCAAAGTCTTCACTTATCTGTAACCCCAGAGGATGAACTAAGGAAACCTCATTTGACCATACCTGCTTGGAGACACAGAGGGATGAAAGCACAGGCAGAGTTCTCTGGGACTCTCTCTATCCTGGAGTAATTAGTGTTCTCAGTCCTCACTCAGTTTTCTTGCTTTAGCTTCTGCTAGGGCCTGGGACTCTTCTCTCTGCTGACCTTAGACTATCTCCTTTGAGCAAGGCCCCTACATTCCTGAAAGCCCAGAGAAGAATGTTAGGAAGACCAAAGCCTAATATATCTACTCCAGATTCACCCAGGTTTGAAAGCATGGATAGAACTCTGTGACCTCTACTGTTCTGAGGTGCGTGGTCCCTTCAGTCCATACTCGATGTTTGCACATTGGCTGCCAGAAGAGCATGGGCTCCTTCCACTAATGAAATGAGCCTGCCCATTTCAGACAAGACATCATCTCCTTGCCCCCATCCCCATCCCCACCCCAAGTACAACATGAGGGAATGCCTTGCCCAAAGCGTCCGTCCCTGAGCTCACAGTGGGGGTGGGGCTTTGGGAGGCCTGCTTTGTTCAGGGTGGATGGTTCCCTAAGACTTCATTTTAACTCTTAGGAGGGCCTGGAGGTCATCCCTCTGCTTACTTGTCTGTTCCCATTCTAAGGCATTTACTTCCCTGCGACACTTCCCAGAGGCAGAAGTCAGGGTTCCTTACATCAACCCTCCTTCATTCCCCTCTCAAGATCAAAAGTATAGGCGGGGCCCTGTAAGGTGCCCTCTGTTCGGAGAGGGATTCGAAGACCTTTCCCAGAGTCTTCGCTTTTATTCCGCTTTTATTCCCGTTAGAGCCTGGGAACCCTCCTTCTGCTGGTCTGAGCCAACACCCTGGGCCAATAACGCTCACCCACTCAGTCTCCTCAGGGGGGTAATTTAGAAGGTACTCAGAGATGGCTACATCGGACAATTCATGTTGGGGTTCTATCAGAGCTGAAAGTGGGGACAGAACTCTCTGGAAGTCCCTCCGGTCTGAGGTGGGCAGTCCCCTCACAGCTAACTCAGGGTCTTTACCTTAATTCCAGGCAGTGCCCGGAGTTCCTCCCTTGACGAACCTGATGCTAACCCGCTCACGCCAAGGCTGTCACTTCCCTCAGACAGCAAAGGCGGAAATCGGTGTGTGATTGATGTCCTTCCACCCCTATCTGGAGCCTCCTAGGGCTGACAAAAGGGGCGGGGCTTCCGAAACCTTCCTTCTGAGGCGAGGGTTTCGCCTCAAACCTCACTCAGGGTTTTCGCCTTTACTCCTTTTAGTCTGGGAACCCTCCCTTTGCTGGTTTGAAGCCAGCACCCTGATCCAATACCCTCACCCCCAGTCTCATCAGGGGAAATTTAGAAGGTACCCAGAGATCGCTACATCAGACAATTCCTGTTGGGGTTCTGTCAGAGCTGAAAGCCAGAACAGAACTCTCTGAGATTCCCTTCAGTCTGAGGCGGGCGGTCCCCTCACACCTAACTCAGCTCAGGGTCCTTACTTAATTCCGGGCAGGATCTGCAACTCCTCCTTCAGTTGACTCAACACCACCCTTCTCAGACCAAGGCCTTCGCCTTGAGACCTCAAGGCAGATAGCAGGGTGCAATACTTGCAGCAAACCTTGCCTGAGGTCTCCCAGGGCTGACAGAGAATGGCGCTTTATCGAGCCAACACTGTTCTAGGGTGCGGGATTCTCTTAGAACTCATATGGGGGTCTTTTATTGACTCCGGGCTGGAACTCTTCCCTCTGGTTACCCAAGTTAGCTGGTATTAAAGCAAAATCATCCGCACATCACCCTCCAGTTTCGAGAAGGTGAAGTGAAGGAACTTTTGAGCCTCACAGCCATGCCGAGGCCTCCCAGAGCTGACAGCGGAGATGGGCCACAGTGTTCCGCGTCTGTTTGGATGAGTGATTTCTTCATAAATCACATAGATTTCTCACCTTTACTTCTGTTAGGGCCCAGAACCCCATTCACTGCGGACCTGAGGCCAATAACCAACGGGCCCTGAGAATCCAAAGCCCTCACTTTCCTGAGTCCCCAGAAGGGAAATTCAGAGGGCACTACACCAAGCAAGCCCTACTCAGAGTCAGCCAGGACTGGCAGTATGGGGTGAAAACTCCCCCTCCTTACAGCTGCACTCTCTGTGCCACTACTATTATTGGTACTACTAGCCCTGTTTTAACTGTCATTAATCACCAGTCCCACTCATATGCACAGCCTCAATAAGGAAGAATCACATACACAGGGGGAAAAATATTCTTTCTTTGTTGGGCATCAAGACAGCTCTCAGCCCTGGTACATTGGCAAGGGTACACTGAAACACCAGAGCAGTGAAGAACTATAGTTCTCCCAGGATTTATTAATATCATCACAGCGTGACGCAGGGAAGTTGCCATACTTTGCCTGACAAGTGGGTAGGGGAGGTTCTAAGGGAACATGCCTCTGGTCCTATCATCCAACTCATCTGCCCACTCAGATCACTCTACAACTTACAGACTGGTAACAGTGATTCAGAGATTCCCAAGCCCATTCATAAAAGTTGTCCAGGACACTACCAGTTTCCCTACCATCACTCCTCCTGGTGCCTTCTTTACTATATGCTGAAGTCTGAATACAGATCTCTGACTACCATCTGCCCTGGGCAATCTGGATTCAGCTTAGTTTGTGATCTCTTTCATGGATTCTGGAAATTATTCGAGCCCCAGGTCCTTCTGACGTTCTTCACTAACTGCGGTTTTCCTATCGAGACCCATTTCCTGTGCCCTGGTCATTCTAAATCCTTTTTTTCCCTCAAAATAAAGAGAAATGTCTTAGTGACATATCAGAATTCTACAGCGTGTGTCCCCAAGTGTTCAAGACATCATTGCAGAAATCTCACTTTATATAAGTGAGGGATTATGTTCATTTTCTCTTCAACCTACTTAGAAAACAAGCAAACACAAATTAAAATAACAGTAAGACAATATATTTTCAATCAAGTTTGACCAAAGTTTAAAAGGTCAATAAAATAAAATGCCTGTGAGAGCTTAATTTATTCACGGACATTATTATGTGAGAATATAAATTGGTACAGCATTATTGGAACATAATACATCTGCAATATTCGTAAAAATTTACAATCATCACACCATGACACTCTTCCCACTTTAATTCAATTGTCACTTTTCTACATCTTTCCTATAGTAAAACATGTACTTTTCCCCAAGAATTAATGCTCTGCAGTGTTGATATCAGTTCTATCAATGATAGCAACAAATGAGAAACAACTTGTGTGTCCATCAGGAGGAGATCAGTTAATTATGGCATTTACATACTTAAGAATTCTAAGGACTAGTTAAAGGGGTGAAATGGAATTATATGTGTTGTCATAGAAAGATTTGGCATTCACTTTATTCAGTAACAATACCAAGAGGCAGAACAATATGTACACAGTTATCAATGTATGTTCAAAACCCATACTGTACTTTTTTAGCACATGTATATAAGAAAAAGCCTAAAATAAATTTTAAAATACTACATGCAAGATCTTTTAAAATGTGGTTACCTTTAAGGAGAAATTGAATTTTTTAGGAAGCAAAATTATGATTTTTTTTGTATTGTTAGAAATTTTTGGCAACAAGAATATATGCACAATTTTTTTTGTAATTAAAATATTTAAATAAGACTAACAATAGGATTAGTGGCTGTGTATTATATAGATAAAGTATGTATGAGATATAATGGGGAAAGACTGAAATCTAAATGGCTTAGCACATTGAAAGTTTATTCATTATGCAAATATTCTTTTTTTTGCAAGTAAAATTTGATGTAGATTGACAAGCAGTCTCTGTCAATGTGACCCATGGATTCACACTCTGTTCATCATGTGGCTCCATATCTCAACACGGGTTCTCCCTTTTTGCTGCTGAATGGAACAGAAAACACGAAGATGGCAGACTGGCTCTTAAATGCATTGGTGTGAAAAGGAAAAACATGGCTCTGCTCATATTTCAGTGTCAAGGGTAGTCACAAGACCTTTCCTAACTATAGGTAGACTAGCAGTGTAGCCTACATATGAACTAAGGATGGAGAATAAGACACAAAGTGGATGAGCACTTGCAGTCTCTCCAATTAACTATTACATAGTAAGTGTTCAATAAAAAGCTATTATAAATTTGTTGTGACAATAGTCCTCTCAATTCTTAAAGGAATTTCTGAGAATATCAACTATGCTTGCTATTCAACAATGTTTTCTAGTGCCTATATGTGGCAGGTGTTTTTAATTCAGATCACACTAATTTTCAGAATGACCCTGTAAATCTCAGCAGGGAGGGTCCACCCTTCTCTACTCAATAGCACCTTTCTGCACTGACCTTTTCAATAACCTCTATAATCCCAATAGCTAGAGAAATTTCTCCTTTCTTTTGGCGCATGGTCAAAATAATGACTTGTGAGTCTCTGCTACCCAATACAAGATGAACATACTTGAGCACTTGAACAGGTGCCCTCAGGCACAATGAAAGACCAGGATTTCCCCTTGGGGTAGATACAGACAAAAGTCAAGAGAATTATGGTAAATTACTTTATTTCTTTTCTTATCCAAGCAGGCATGTCTTCCAGGGGGACATATTCTACCTCTGTGGTAGACTGAATAATTGCTCCACAAAGATTCCCATACCTTTATCCCTAAAACCCATGAATATATTATGTTACATGGCCAAAGGCACTTTACAAATACAATTAAAATTATGGAAGTGACCTTAAACATAGAGATATTATATTGGATTGTCTGCATGGGCCAATCTAATTACATGAGCCCTTACAAACAGAGAAATTTCTCCATCTGGAGGCAAACGTTACATGTGGCAGGGGTAGAGGTTAGAGAAATTCTAAGCATGAGAGAGGATCAGTGTGCCATTTCCTTTTTTGTTAATTTCAGAATATTAAGGGGGTACAAATGTTTTATGTTACATGGATCACTTTTGTAATGCTTGAGTGCTGCCTATAGGTGTGCCCATCACCTGAATAGTGTTCACTGTACCCATTAGGTAGGTTTTGCTCCTCTCCTCCTCCATCTTCCCCCGTGGTTGATTTCCACTGAGTTTTACTTCCCTCCGTGCACATGTGTGCTCTTGCTTAGTTCCAATTTAGTAGTGAATACATGTGGTGTTTCTTTTTCCATTCTTAAGATACATCACCTAGGAGAAAGGGCTTCAGTTCCATCCAGATTGTTGCAAAAGGTATTGATTCATCTTTTTATGGCTGAGTAGTACTCCATGGTTTTCTAGATATAAGATCATATCATCAGTGATAGTTTGACTTCCTCTTTCCCAATTTAGATACCCTTAATTTCTTTCTCTTGCCTGATTTCTCTGGCTAGGAATTCCAGGACTATGTTGAGATGCTTCTGTTTATGTCTTTTTCCCACTTTTTAATAGGTGTGTCTGTTTTTTTCTTGCTAACTTGCTTGAGTTCTTTGTTGCTGATTTGTTTCAATTCTTTGTAGATTCTAGTTATTAGCCCTTTATTGGATGTGTGGATAGCAAATATTGTCTCCTATTCTGTAGGCTGTCTATTTGCTCTGTTGATTATTTCCTTAGCTGTGCAGAAGCTTTTTTAGTTTAATCAAGTCCCATTTATTTATTTTTTGTTGCTGCTGTAATTGCCATTGGGGTCTTGGTCATAAATTCTTTGTCTAGGCCAATGTCTAGAATATTTTTCCTACATATTCTTCTAGAATTACTATGGTTTCATGCTTTACATTTAAGTCTTTTATTCATCTTGAATTAATTTTTGTGAGTAGTGAGAAATAAGGGTCCTGTTTCACCCTGCTGCAAGTAGCTATCCAATTTTCCCAGCACCATTTAGTGCACAGGGCTTCTTTTCCCTAGTGTATGTTGTTGTCTGCTTTGTCAAAGATCAGTTGGTTATAGGTAGATGGTTTTATGTCTGGGTTCTCTGTTCTGTTCCATTGGTCTATGTCTCTATATACCGTTTTGGTTACTATAGCCTTGTAGTATAGTTTGAAGTCTGGTAATCTGATGCTTTCAGATTTGTTCTTTATGCTTAAGACTGCTTTGGCTATTTGGGCTCTCCTCTGGTACCAAATGAAGTATAGCATTATTTTTTCTGGATCTGTGAAGT